TTAAACTTAAATAATATTAACAATGATTGAAGAATAAAAATAAATTTCATTTTGAATTCCTTTTGATCTTGTGTACTTTAATTTATCTTACAGGTCAGCCCAACTTACATTGAAATTATCAGTAAATAATCAAAAAATAAATCACACATAACACAAATTTTCAATCATTTTGAAGTGCCTTCGTTTTTATCAATGTTTAAGTTGCTTCTTCTTCCAGGAAAGGCAACGGGAACTACGCAAACCTGTTCGCCCAAAAACTCTCGTATTCTGAAGGCATACTCCCTACAGTAAAAAATTCTGACATCATAAGTACCCTCTTTTTCTTTTCCAATTGGCTTTTTTACGTAACCACACATGTGAAAGGCTGAGGTGTTGTTGTTTACGCAGGCAATTTTGAACGATTGGATGATTTCAACGACTCTTTTTGTGACCATACAAACAGACAACTCTTCCAACTTAGCAGCATCTATTGCACCATCTTGATCCTTGAGTTCTAAAATTTCCATTTTTCTTCGCTTTGTAGCCTTCTTGACTTCATCTTCAACATCATCCTTTTGAGACATAACACCAACGGGGTACTTCATACCAACAAGTCGAGAAACTACCGAAGAACCCATTGCTCTCTATCAGTTAATAACAATAAAAGAAAAGTAAACATGTTAACAAGACTTATAACGGCTTTGAATAATGATATTATTTCACTAATTTCTCTCATAATAAAAAACAAACTTTATGAACGCCAAATATGACGACGTCCAGTGGCTGAGACGAGTGGCTACTGTGTGGGCACAATAATAATTATAAAGCCACTTTATTTTCGAACAGCCACTTTCTAGCACCATCTTTAATGTGGCTAACACAGTTGTCTTGTATTAAAACTGCCCATTCTTGTGGGCAATTTTTTCTTCTTAATTCCAGTTCTGGTTTAAGACATCTTTCAAGCCACAATGTGTATATGTCTTCCGTAATGAAGGATTTGCGTTGATATGCAATTTCAACATCATCTCTGTCAATGTATCTGTCGATTTCATTTTTCATTGTCAAGTTTGATAGTATGATCATTGGTTTCAGCGTGGTGTTGTTGGCAAATATTCCTGCAATCAGTGTTATGCGTTTTTGAGAGCGATCAACAGAGTAAGAGTG